ATCAATGAATTTTCTACGTTGAAATCAACTTGACAATTATTTCTTAATATCAATTTTATTTTGTTTAGATTCAAATTACCTTCGAATTCAATATTGTTTTTACCATTGACGCTTCCTGCGTATTCAGATAAGTATTCGTTAATGGCTATGTATTCGTAGCTTCCTGGTAGTAAACGTATGGTTTTGAACGTAACTCCATTATCTGTTGATATTTTTATTTGGTTATTTTTTTCGTTGATATTTCTAATGGAATTGTAAACAGAGAAATACTTTAATCCCAATTCATATTCTTGATTGCGATGAGTTCGTACTCATAGTCTAGAGACAATTTAATGTCTGATTTATTCGAGGTGATGACGAATAGTTGTTCTTTATTTGACATTTTTTATTACGCTTTTATAATCATTTTTATCTATGATACCTTTCTCTAGGAGTCTTTTTAATATACAATTCACTTCATTAAATTGTCTGTGCGATCGATGTCCTTCCTTCATTGCCGCTAATATTACTCGTAATCTATTAAGTAGTTCCTCGTTGTTGTCGGATAAAAACGTTATACCTTGTCCAGATACCATATCTTCGAATTCGTCTATTTCTTGTGTGATTGAATTGTTGTCTTCAGCATAATTATCTTCTTCAATTACTCTTTTATATAGTTTAACTACGCAGTCGTCAAACACTACTAAGCTCTTTCGCTCGCTATCAATTTTAGACAAATCTAGATCATTAACATTTTTCTTAAGAAAAACTTTTATATCCGTTGGTTTCTTTCCTTCGATGTAGTTATCTATGAAATCTTTTATTTCCACTTCTTCTTCGTTTTCTTCGTAATATTGAAATAGGTCTTGAACATCTTTCTTTGGTAAATATTCTAAAGCTTTGGGGAATTGATAATACGATTGTTCTGGTGTTGTTGTGTAGATATACAGAGAATCGAAATCTAAAAGGTTTGGTGTTGTCAACATGTTAAAAGTGAGATGAGTTTTCCCAGAACCGGAACTACCGCATATACACATGAGCATTGGGTTATTAGGAAATATTTCTGAATGATTAAATTTTTTTGCCCATTTTTTATTATTTCAATTTGTTCCAAAAATAACTCCTTCTCCTTTATACTTCGAAAGATATATTCCTTCTTCAGTGTGTATATTTTTTAAAAATATTCCATTACCCTTATGTTTGACTTTGATTTCCCCTGTGTCAATACTATCTACTAATTTATTTAATCCTTGTTTAACAGTTTTCTTGGTTTCTTCACTAAATCTTTTTCCAAATTCTTTCATTGTGCCTATCATTTCTCCCACTCCTGAACCTTTGGCCAACTTTTCCATTTTTAAATTATGTCTACGTTCTTCAGCGGCTTTAGCACCAGCTGCTTTCTTTGCGTTAACAGCTTTGACTCCATCAGCTGTAACACCAGCGACTGTAGCCGCCGCGGTAATACCAGCAAATATTAAAGGTAAGGAAAATATAAATCCACCTTTTTTTACATTTGTATCAATTCTTTCTAAATCTATATCGTCTCTGACTTTACAATATTTGTATTTATCAATAAGTTTTTTAGTTATGTTGATTTTTTTACCGTTGAAAGTTATTACAGTTGGGGAATCTGTTTCAACAGCTTCTATTATTTTCATAACTAAAGTTTCTGGTTTCATTTTTAAGGGTGTATTTTTTACTCAATTCTTATCATTCTTCTATCTGCTATTTTAATTAAATGTTTTGCTTTTTCCAATAATAAACAATAACCTGTTACATCTCCTTGTGTTTTTTCAATATGAATATTTATGTTCACTCCTGTTTTGAAAAGATCTTCTTGGTGAGCTGATAGATCAAAACAGAAGATTGGATGATTAAGTGCAAAATCTACATATTCAAACTGAGGTAGATTTCCGAATAATTCACACATATTTTTATAGTTTCTATACAATTCATTATAATCCTTTGTGGTTGGATTAATTGTTAAAGGTTGGTTAGGATAATTATCGTCGTTTAATCTTACTTGAACTTTATGGATTAAAGGATCTTGAGTTTGGTTCATTGCTACTCTAAAGACATTATTGTTATTCGTTTGAGAATCTGGTAAGTTCTTGAAACCAACTATTAAATATCTTGCTAGTTTAATAGTGTTAGTGATTGGCCATGTGGTGGATTCTCCAGTTAAAGTCATGCTACCTACAGTGTTACGATAAAGAAAAGCTATTTCAATATCTTTAGTTAACGAGTTGAATATTCTCGTTTCTACTTCAATTGATGGTGTTATTACGGGTATGAAAAGTTGGAGATTCGTTATTTCTAATTTTGCATCTGAACCATTCTCTACAAAGAATATCTTATCGTCGTTTATTTCTCTTTGTAGATGAATTTTATATGGTAAGCCTATGGAAACTTTTCTATGTTAAAACAGACCGAATAAAGGATATAATTTCCAATTTACGTAATTACCCCACCTATTATTCTCAACAACATTATTATACTGAAGTAATCGTTTTTCGAATCCATGATTAACTGCTCGTCCTACTCTTTCTATCGTATTTCGAGCAACAACTCTCACTCTAGCTAAATCGGCATCATTTGCACGATTTCTTACCGGTTCCTTTAAAATACTTCCATCACCAACATCAGGTATCCAACCTGAGACTGAATCGAAATCTTTAGGATATAAAACTGTTTTCAACATTGTGTCGAATCCCCCAGGGTGTTTGATTGTTTCTATCGGATTTGAACCAGCTTCCAAAACCATATCGCTAAATAAAGATGGAAAGAAATTGTTTTCTAACGTTGTATTAGTTTGTGGAACACGATTTTAATTGGGAGTTCCATCTTTTATTTTGAAATTGCATCTGAAATAAGCATCGGAAAGAAGCAACCAATTCGATAATGAATTTATTTCGAAGGTAATTCTACCACCATCATTCAATTGGGATTTAGAACCAACAGTCGGTGAGATGATAATATAATCCTCTTTTTTCTTGTTAAATGAATAACGAATTGGATCGTATAATCTAAAGATTGGATTTAGTATTTTATTTGCCATTTTTAAGGTTTAAAATTTGAGTAGAAAATTTAAAAAAAAAAATTATTTTAATATGCTTTTTTGATGGAATGTAGGAAATTGATTGAAGGTGTTTTTTGGTGTATGAAATGAAGGGTGATTAGGGTGTAAGTATCTATAGGGGGTTTAGGTCTTTAAATGTAAGAATTTATGAAATGTAGGGAATTTAGGTCTTTTGCTGTAAGAATTTATGAAATGTAGGGAATTTAGGTCTTTTTTGGGAGCTTTCATATTGGTCGCATTTTCCCCATGAAATGAAATGGAATGGGGATTCCCCCTATGCGACCAATATGAAAGCTCTAACAGATAAACTTGTTATCTCTTAAATCAAATCTATATTCAAGGTAGGTAACAGATAGACTTGTTATCTCTAAAATCAGATCTATATTCAAGGTAGGTAACAGATAGACTTGTTATCTCTAAAATCAGATCTATATTCAAGGTAGGTAACATATAAACTTGTTATCTCTAAAATTAGATCTATATTCAAGGTAAGTAACAGATAAACTTGTTATCTCTAACATCAGATCTATATTCAAGGTAGATAACAGATAAACTTGTTATCTCTAAAATCAGATCTATATTCAAGGTAGATAACAGATAAACTTGTTATCTCTAACATCAGATCTATATTCAAGGTAGATAACAGATAAACTTGTCATCTCTAAAATCAGATCTATATTCAAGGTAGGTAACAGATAAACTTGTTATCTCTAAAATCAGATCTATATTCAAGGTAGATAACAGATAAACTTGTCATCTCTAAAATCAGATCTATATTCAAGGTAGATAACAGATAAACTTGTTATCTCTAAAATCAGATCCATATTCAAGGTAACAGATAAACTTGTTATCTCTAAAATCAGATCTATATTCAAGGTAGGTAACAGATAAACTTGTCATCTCTAAAATCAGATCTATATTCAAGGTAGATAACATATAAACTTGTTATCTCTAAAATCAGATCTTTATTCAAGGTAGATAACAGATAAACTTGTTATCTCTAAAATCAGATCTATATTCAAGGTAGGTAAGAGAAAAACTTGTTATCTCTAAAATCAGATCTTTATTCAAGGTAGATAACAGATAAACTTGTAATCTCTAAAATCAGATCTACATCCAAGGTAGGTAACAGAAAAACTTGTTATCTCTAAAATCAGATCTATATTCAAGGTAGATAACAGATAAACTTGTTATCTCTAAAATCAGATCTATATTCAAGGTAGGTAAGAGAAAAACTTGTTATCTCTAAAATCAGATCTATATTCAAGGTAGGTAACAGATAGACTTGTTATCTCTAAAATCAGATCTTTATTCAAGATAGGTAACAGATAAACTTGTTATCTCTAAAATCAGATCTATATTCAAGGTAGGTAACAGATAAACTTGTTATCTCTAAAATCAGATCTATAGTCAAGGTAGGTAACAGATAAACTTGTTATCTCTAAGCTGTAACTTATATTGGCACAATTTATTATTTATGATATTTCTTTTGTTTTTTTTTTCCATTTCTTTAATGAAAGTAAATTTATCAACAGAATATAATATTAAGCAATCTGTGGCCAAAATATTGGCGTTTCTCTTCTATCAAATCTAAACAAGCATTTTAGTACCATTGATCAGATTATTAAAGGTATTGTAAAAAGGTAAAAAGGACACTAATACTATCAATTTGAACTATTCAGACGTCTGTAGTTCCTGCAATTCCAGTTGGCAAGGGTGGGCGATTCTGTGCAGGGTTGGTGACTCTTGACAGGGTGGGTGACTCTTGACAGGGTGGGTGACTCTTGGCAGGGTGGGTGTCTCTTGGCAGGGTGGGTGTCTCTTGGCAATATGGGTGACTCTTATCAGGGGAGCCATTCGGGCACAGGCATCTTTTCTATCAATAGTTGTCTCTCTCTATAATAGTATACGGAGAAGAGAGTGGCTAACGCTATAGTTTACGCCCATCGTTCCACTGTATCTACTTTCGGTCTAAAATTGAGATTTTTTTTAATTACAATCCGTTGTGTGGTTCTCTGGCAATGAAAAAGTCCATTCAGAGTCGTTGTGTGGCAGTTGTCAACGGACATGCTGGCCAACACGCTACTGACCTTGAGTGGGCGGTACCAAGTGAAGTTAGTTCAGTATCTTTCCGTCTCCGGCTTCTCATACGCATATATATTTTATATCAACACTGATGTGCGGTTTTCCTTCAAAAATTTAACGTGTCAATTTAGACAGTTTTTAGTCATTTTTACCAAAACCCAGAGTGAGCCACTTTAACGATTAATTCTAGTTTGCCACGTTTCTCTTCTCTTCTATATAAACCCATACAAACTTACCTTCTCTACTCACAACTCTATCAAGAAGACAAAATGACTGTCATTTCTAATTTGATGTTGGTAATTGTTTTACTGTGTGTTGTTTCTTTACACGTTGCCAGCCCTAAACCTCATTCACGTACCCGAAAGTCTGCTGATGGAGAAAAAGAAGGTAAGCCGCATCTTTGGACTGGGAAGATATTGTACTGTTCTCTTGACTGTTCTCTGTTGACTCCGTCACACCGGAAAGACGTTCTCACTGCGCTGTCGCTACGATTGGAAATTAGAACAAAGCGTGTTAAGGTCGCCATTAGTGTTGTTTAAGCGTGTAGGACACACCAGACATCGTGCAATTGTCGCCACTATTCGCAAGTCACGGCCAAATACTGTGATCTGCTCTGGATTGTCTTGTGAACGTCATAGGATCGCGAATGTTGTTAGACAGGCGTTGAAACTTCGCGTAGACGCTGCTAAAACGTTACATCGCAATACGATTGCAGTATCGCGGTATGAGGTGACTGTTTCTAAATTTGAAAGTACATTTCCTGTTGCCGTAAGATCCCAAATTTGAGTAATAATTGAGGGTACTCGAGGACCATGAGTATGTGAGAGACTTTTCTGGCACTCTTTCAAAAACGTGTTATTCTAACCATGATCTTAACTAGTACAACATCCTCACAATGGTCAGGGTATTGCGAACATCGTCTTATTCCTTGACTACAATAGCCACCTTTCTTGTTCGCAATAGTTTGACATTGTGAAGATGAGGGTACTATTAAAGATGGGGAACGACAGTAGTAAAAACACACAAGATAAAACATCTAGAGTGTAATCTTTGAGTATAACAAATTATATGTGAATATGGTATTTATTTCAGATTGTTATAACATTACAAAAGACAAATGGTTGAATTATCAGATTTTGAAACTAAGTGCTGTTGAAACCGAAGATGGATGCAAACCATTATGTGAGAAGAACAAATGTGTCAAATTTTGGACAAACAGATTTGATATTGGTAATGGCATAACATACGGCTGTGTTCTGCAACTAAAACCAAGTATCTTTGTGGCAGAAGATATGAACGTGGAGGAGTGTAAAAAGAAATGTGCGGCGATGAAGGAATGTAAAACACTTATGAATAATAGAAGGTCCTGTTATTTGTATGACATTGAATACAGTAATATACCTGCTGATAAATTTAGCCAGAAAACTGATTGGATAGTAGCACAGAAAACTTGTTAGAGCTATAGGAATATTGAGATATGACCAAACCCTTAAACACCTTACCCTACACTCTCTATATTATACCAGTAGTGACAGTTTAATAAGTTTTCAAACTGTAACTAAAATTGGCATATTTTATTATTTCTGATATTATCTTTGTTTCTACTGTTTTCTATTTCTTATTGTAGACACACTAGGTGTCGTATTTTCCTTCTAAAGTCTTGTATGTAGTTAAAATTGAGCTTGTAATATTAATCTAATAAATTTCTTTTTGCGTGAAGATTTTTATCTATTGTAAAATATAGAAATCAATTTTACGTACATAAAAGGATCACTTTAATAACGAGGTCGTACAAAGGGATCACTTTAATAACGAGGTCGTGTAAAGGGTCCACTTTAATAACGAGGTCGAGGTCGTATAAAGGGTTGACTTTAATAACGAGGTCGAGGTCGCATAAAGGGTTGACTTTAATAACGAGGTCGTATAAAGGGTTAACTTTGATAACGAGGTCGTATAATGGATCACTTTAATAACGAGGTCGGATAAATGGTTAACTTTAATAATGAGGTCGTATAAAGTGTTCACTTTAATAACGAGGTCGTATAAAGGGTTCACTTTAATAACGAGGTCGTATAAAGGGTTCACTTTAATAACGAGGTCGTATAAATGGTTCACTTTGATAACGAGGTCCTACAAAGATTTCACTTTCATAACGAGGTCGTATAAAGGGTTCACTTTAATAACGAGGTCGTATAAAGATTTCACTTTAATAACGAGGTCGTATAAAGATTTCACTTTAATAACGAGGTCGTATAAAGGGTTCACTTTAATAACGAGGTCGTATAAAAGGTTAACTTTAATAACGAGGTCGTATAATGGATCACTTTAATAACGAGGTTGGATAAATGGTTAACTTTAATAATGAGGTCGTAAAAAGGGTTCACTTTAATAACAAGGTCGTATAAAGGGTTCACTTTAATAACGAGGTCGTATAAAGGGTTCACTTTAATAACGAGGTCGTATAAATGGTTCACTTTAATAATGAGGTCGTATAAAGGGTTCACTTTAATAACGAGGTCGTATAATGGATCACTTTAATAACGAGGTCGTATAAAGGGTTCACTTTAATAACGAGGTCGTATAAAGGGTTCACTTTAATAACGAGGTCGTATAAAGGGTTCACTTTAATAACGAGGTCGTATAAATGGTTCACTTTAATAACGAGGTCGTATAAAGGGTTCACTTTAATAACGAGGTCGGATAAATAAAAGAGCTTCTCAATACCACTCTGAAATATACACAGGTTAAATACCATCAAGATCAGTCCATGCCCTCAAATCTGCGCTCATTGCCGACATTTGCTTTGTTTCAACTTCAACTCCATCTCTGGCTATTGACAATGCTGAAGACTTGTTAGCTACTAAACTTAAGACCGAAGTATACTTGCTTAGCATTTTTGGAGAGTTCCAACCAACATGTCTGCAAATATTTTCGTCCCACACACCTAACAGTTTCAACGTCATTGTGCATGCACCTCTCGCCCCGTGTGCAGTTTCCCCTTCTAACAAACCAGCTGTTGTCACGGGATGTTAAGAATTACGTCATTGTAGAACCATTTTTGGCATGAGACAATTCCCGCTCTTTTATCAAATTTGCATAACCAAATTGGGAGGTGCGCGATCCAATGAGCCTTTGTTTCTGTTTTGGTAGTCGCCATTGTGAATTTTTTTGAAGATAACCATTTATATTTTGTGAAGAAATTTTGTAATCTGTTGAAGTTGTATGTTTGAAGAGAGCTGATTTAAGCGCCATTAATTGTAAGAATGATCTTAATATTGTTATCTAAACTTTAAAGTAGGATTCATTCCTTTCTTAAGAATAACTGTTATATTCCATTAGATATTGGACAGGTATTTTTTGTGCCATCACGAGAGCTGAGTAAATGATTTACTACAGTATCAGTTTTTGCACCTTTCGAAATTATAAGTAAGGGAAGTAACCGAAAATAAGAATAGTCTTGCTGAAGATTTATAACTAATACTACAAATGTTTTCATATGTTTACATTTAGTTAAATATTTGTAACTTTTTATCTTTTTAGTGAATCACTTCGCCACTTCCTACACTTCGATATATTATACAGAAAAAAACAAAGGCTTAGTTTGTTTGCTTGTAACCATTGCTAAATGCCGCTCTATCTTCGTGGCTTCTGAATGGCGTTTTATAAACAAAGATGCCATAGGGTTTCCGATTGCAAGTTGTTCATTCCATACAGATCCCGTCCTCTATCCCTAAAAATAACCCTTAACTGTCCAATCAAACTGTCTAGGGAAGACGCTGCTCGACGCAATGGGCAACTACATTCCCTAGTCGAGGAAGAGCCCTTACGCGAACACTCCTTTTCATATACGCGAGTCTTACAACCCTTGTCTTTATAGATCAACAATTCTCTTATAGTGTAGATTGATACAGAAGCGATGGTTTGTTATGGACACATATTGGCTAAAAATGACTGGAGTTCAACTTCTAACTTGTCCTTCTGAATATTATATTTTTTACATCCGGTCAATTCGTCTAACTTTATTATTCTTCTCTTAAATTCCTCTCTATTCAGAGCATCTGACACCTACAATATAGACATTACCCAAAGATAAAGATTAACGCTATCTGTTTAATTATTCTATTTTCTAATTATTTTATTTTCTATATTTTAATTTTTCTTAATTTTAATAATCATTATTTTTTTTTTGTAATTATCATTATTTATGACCGAATACAGCAGCCCTACAGAAGAAAGTTCATATGTCTATGACTGTAGTTAAAAACATTTTCAAATCAAAACTATTTTCTTTTTTCAATCACAAACTCAAACCAACACTATAAACTATCTGATTTACTGCCAATTTTCTTTCGCTATCACCTTACCTCGACCAACTTTATTTACCAATCATCCTCTTAGAATGAAAAACCACCCCCTATCTATAACCTAATATACTACTCTTTTGCCTGCGGCGCCCCCAAAATTATTGGATAAAAATGTCAATGATAATTGCTCAAACTCCTAAAACTTATTTCGGTTCTGACATTCAAAAATCATTAGGTTCTCTTCCTGGATTTCCATGGGCAAAATACCCTGGAGAAAAACGTCTTCCGGTCATAATTATACTGGTCCAGGTACAAGGTTAGATCTACGATTAGACCAAAACGATAAACCCAAACCAGGTAAAGAACCAGTCAATAGGGTTGACGCCGCTGCGCCTAAACACGATATACTATACAGAAACAAAGACATAACATCTAGACACGAAGCAGATAAACAAATGATAATCGAACTTGAAAATATCCCAAATCCAACTTTCAAAGAGAGAATTCAAAGAGCAATAATCATTAAACTCTTGAAAGCAAAGATGAAAATGGGTATGGAAATAGCAGATGAAATACACAAAGAATTTAGAAAAACATTTTTTAACTGATTAATGGGAGGTAACACTTTTTTTTGTCAAAATAAAATACCAATCAGTTTATACACAGTTAGTTTTCTAGAGTATTATTGATTTAATAATCAGTCGTCTAGGCTATTGTTGACTGGATATACGTCACTAAGTAACAGAAGATTATATTAACATATAACATTCCGCCCATGCCACATCGGCATAGACAGACCAAACTCTCAACTATTAACACTGTCTCAATTTTGTTACGTTGGAAGATTAGGAATTTAATCATACAAAATCAAGGTATGTTCTTTGTTTAATTCAATCATAAGACGAGAGGGTGGAATTAAGATTATTCGTTGTTTTTTAAAATATCAATTTTGTTTTATTCCAGACACAAGTTTAATAGATGCCAACATTTCATATCACGAAGAATATTTAAACCATCACAGGCAGTGGGGGATACAAAGAGGTCAAGAATTTTGCCAAACTCTATGACAAATATCCGAGGTTTCAAAATTGTTGATACAGATGTCGAAAATAGAACAAGTGGTGAAGAACAAGCGTTTCGGAAAAGGATATAATTTATGTGACGTATATCTAACGATTCTATAGGAGCGGTCATGACCCTTGACCCTTGAACTATGACGGCCAATAGTGTAAGAGGGGAGATAACTATGAAGTATATCTAGCGATTCTATAGGAGTGGTCGTGAGGTGAACATTACCAATCCTAGTAGAAGTGTATAACAATATACATGTAATTATTTATGTTTTAAATTTCCTTGTATTTATTAAAACTTACTTTGGTTTTTTGTTATTCTTCCTGCATTTCCATGGGGGTAAATAGTTTCAAATAATAGGGTAAAACCTATCTTTAAAAATGCAGAGGCCACAGCTGGTGGAACAATATACATGTAATTATTTATGTTTTAAATTTCCTTGTATTTATTAAAACTTACTTTGGTTTTTTGTTATTCTTCCTGCATTTCCATGGGGGTAAATAGTTTCAAATAATAGGGTAAAACCTATCTTTAAAAATGTCAGAAAAAAATTAGAGCTTAGATCCGATCTTTGAATTATATGATCCAATTATTCGTTTAATAAGAAAAAAGAGGATTACATTATAACATCACCAACCGTTGGCTCTAGGTCGCAAATAAATGATGGAGGTAGGATCTCTTTCGAGATTAATTCATTATCGAATTGGTTGCTGCTGTCTGATGCCTATTTCAGGTGCGATTTCAAAATCAAAGACGGAACTCCCAATGAGAATCGTGTACCACAAACCAACACATCGTTAGAAAACAATTTCTTCCCATCTTTATTTACTGAAATACTTTTGGAAGCTGGTTCAAATCCTATAGAAACCATCAAACTCCCTGGGGAATTTGACACAATGTTGAAAACAGCTCTATATCCCAAAAACCACGATTCAGTCTCAGGCTGGATACCCGATGTTGGCGATGGAAGAGTTTTAACTGTTCCAAATGATGCAAATGAAGATGAGAGCTATTGCTCGAAACACAATAGAAAGAGTAGGACGATCAGGTAATCACGGATTTGAAAAACGAGTGCTTCAGTACAATAATGTTGTTGAGAATAATAGGTGGGGTAATTACGTAAATCTTCTGTTTTGATCTATCAGCTATGAACATAAATATTCATATTGAAAAAACACAAGGAGATGTTTATTATTGGAAGAAGCAAAACATTTAATTAAAATATCCGACAGACGGATGATTCGTATAGAATAATCATTTAAATTACTTTCTTAAAAATGAAGCCGGAAACTTTAGTAAAAAGAATAATAGAAGCTATCGAAACGGAATCACCAACTACAATAACTTACAGGTAAAAGGATTAAAATGTCTAATTAAAAAATATCGATAAATATAAACATTGTAAAGTTAGAGATGATATAGATTTGGATTTTTACCTTTCCTACCTTTGATATGTGCTGGTCTGACCGCAGCAGAGGCCACAGCTGGTGGAACGGCTGGGATAACGCAAGTCATCAACGCCAAGAAAGCAGCTGATGCCTAAAAAAGTGAAAAACGTAGACATGATATGGAAATGGAAAGGAGAGCACAAGGTTCAGAAGTAGCAGATATATTAGGGACGGATAAAGAATTTGGAAATCGATTTAGTGAGGAAACCAAGAAAACTGTTAAAGAGGGATTTAGTAATCTAATAGATAAAATCGACACCGGAGAAATGAAGGTCAAACATAAGGGCAATGCCATAGTTTTAAAAAAACAAACGTTCTGGAGAGGGAATATTTCTTTCAAAGTATAAAGGAGTGATTTTTGGAACAAAAATATAGAATAAAAAATGGGCAGAAAATTTAATCATTCAGAAATATTTCCTAGTAACCCAATGCTTATGTGTATTTGTGGAAGCTCAAGTTCTGGGAAAATGTATTTGACATTTAACATGTTGACAACACCAAAACTTTTAGATTTCGATTCATTATATATCTACACAACAACACCAAAGCAATCATATTATCAATTCCTCAAAGCTTTATAATATTCACCAAAGAAAGACGTTCTAGACATATTTAAATATTATGAAGACGATGAGATAGAAATAAAAGATATCTTAGATACATATATAAAAGAAAAGAATCCATCTTTCAATCCAACGGATATAAAAGTTTTTCTTACGAAAAATGTTAATGATTAAGATTTGTCTAAAATTGATAGTGAGCAAAGAACTTAATAGTGTTTGACAACTGTGTAGCACAAAAAATCAAGCTGTTCAACAAGAATTCTTCACGAAGGGAAGACATCACAACTGTCACTGTATATACCAATCCCAATCTTTCTACGATATGGATGCAATGTTCATTAGAAAAAATGCAAATTGTTTTTTATTATTCGAATTGATCGACAAAGATTTATCTCAAATTATTCAGTCAATTAATCACGGAATGCATAGAGATACATTTAAAAAGGATTGTAAAGCACAATGGAGAACCCCAGATGATCATGGATATATATACGTTAATACTAGAAAACCTGCAGGTGAAAGAGTTATGACAGATATATGTTAATTTTATTTCTTTAAAAATGGGTGATTGGAATAATATTATAAAAAGAAATAAACAATATATCAAAGCTAAGAATAAAATAAAGACCCAAGTTGAAAATAACAGATTACAACAACTTGGATTAACAGAAAATCTACAAACTCTATTTCAACCCATATTAAAAAGTCAAGAAGATATTAAAAAGAGACTCGCGCCACCCATAGAACCTTCACCTCATAAAGATCACCCCGAACCGATTGAATATGGTGGTATTATAAATAGGACATTAGATGATATAAAACGTTATTTTTCAAATCCAAACCCAGATTTCCCAGGGAGCATTAAACCAATTTTTGATAATGAAGGGTTATTGTTTAATGGATTTAGAATAAGATTTAGTGGAAATTCACCACAATTCAAAATCGATACAAAACACTTTATATTCTATAGATAGATTCCTATAGAAAGGTATTATAGATAAAAATGATTATAAAAACGTAATTGATAAAATTATCCAATAAAAATAGTCATTGAAAAAATGTCAAATAAAGAACAATTAATCGTTATCACCTCAAATAAACCAGACATTAAATTGTCTCTAGATTATGAGTACGAACTCGATCGCAATCAAGAATATGAATTGGGATTAAAATATTTCTCTGTTTACAATTCCATTAGAAATATCAACGAAAATAATAACCAAATGAAAATATCAAAAGATAACGGATCTACATTCAAAACCATACGTTTACTACCAGGAAGCTATGAATACGTTGCCATAAACGAATATCTATCCGAATATGGAGGAAGTGCAAATGGTAATTTGAATCGGAACAAAATAAAATTGATATTGGGAAATAAGAGTCAAGTTGATTTCAACGTAGAAAATTCTTTGAATACTTTATTAGGATTTGATAAGCAAATATACACGCAATCCAATTTAGCCCCACATAAAGCTAATATCGAGAATGATATCGATGTGATTTACATACATTGCAATTTAATAAACGGTGGATTTGACAATAAACACAAACGTCAGATTATTTACAGTATTCCAAACCATCTTTTGTTAAATTCATTCGACACATCATGTCCACTAGCCAACCGAATATAATCCTCTACACTTGTCATATTATTAGAATAACCCTTAAACGTTTTCTTTTCTTTTAATACACCATCAGAAGTTAGAATGATAATTATTATATTTGACTTTTGGCGCTAAATATAATTCCACCATCACCATAATCATTCTTACCTTTACAATATTCATTTTCAGATACCAACCCAGCTCGATTTAATTTATCTTAATTTCTAGATGAAATGTATAAACTATCGGTATCGGTATAGTATATTTCAGGTTTATTAAATCCATTTATTACATGAATGAAATTATTCATTATTTTTTTACTGTGAGATAAAACGAATGATCCCAAATGACTAGGTGTTAGTCGTGTAGATTTACTATCTTCAGCAGTAATCTCTTTTTCTTCAATTTGTATCTCAACGAAATATTGAGTATCATTTATTTTTTCATAGTTTTTAACATGTGAGTCGAAGTTAGCCTGAAAAGTTACTCCATTCCACAAACTACGATTACTCGTGTTTCTATCCTTCTGAATAGATTTACCATACAAGGAATTACCTAATAATTTCATGCAATTACTACCCACAATATTACCTTTTCGTTTATATTTATTTCTAAGATCTTTCAAAATTAAAATATAATCTCTGTATGGTGGAGTTTTAAATTTTTCTTCGTATACTATACCATCTAATATTCTAATAATCTGTCCACAGCCTTTAACTACTTCTTGAATATCGACCGATGTTAAAACATCTGAACAAAAACCATTTCTAAACCTGATTTTAGTGCCAGTTTCCTTTTTTTCTTCTTTATTTGTGTAAGTGATTTTATCTTTAGCTGGTATTGGTTGGAAGAACATGTTATAAGGATATTTAAACCACATTGTTAAAATAGCTGTTCTAGGTCTAAAGTTTTGTTTATTGAAGAGTTTTACAAATTCTTTTTCTTCTCCTGGTATAAACGGTCTAGCACTTTCTGCTTTTGGATATTCACTGTCTAAATCCGACATTGCTGAAGCGTACAAACCATTAGCATCAAATACCATTAGTTTATTGCAGTTTATTTTTTTAAGTTTTGAATTAACTTCTGTTTTGTCTTTTGTGTTCGCGCTGTATTCTTTGAGTAAATCAATTATGTTATCTCTTCTTGAATTATCACTTCGTGTTTCACTTTGTGAAATATCACTTTGTGAAATAAATTCGTTTAATACATTACAAATTTCATCCATTTTGTTCGTTTCAAATATGTTTCTATTTGCCGAAACTCTTCCTCCTTTAATAGATCGTCTGATATAATGTCTTATAAAAAGATTAGTGTGTGAATAAACTTTTTATATATTTTCTTTTTCAGTATGTTTCGGAACCATTCTAGTAGTTTCCATTCTTCTTCAACCATTTCTTTATCGTAATGATACAAATAATACCAACCCTTAAAAGATAAAGCTGGAGCCGTTAGATTATTGGACATATTTTGGTTTACAACTTCTTTCGTGACTTGGTTATATTTTATCAAATAACTTCCAAGACAACACGTATCTCTTTTTGCATATGGTTCCCATTCGTGTCTTAAAGATTCCCAGTTATCTTTGGTGTATTTTGCAACATTGATATCAGTGATCTTTCTCAAATTCATTGGTAGATTAGATGAATTACCCCATGCCGCTAAACTAGATGTTTCATGTTGATAGGAACATGTGAAATTAATATGTTGTAAATAATTATTATTGCTTGTTATTTCTTGTCTTTTCCATTTTTTCTGTAAATCTTCATCTGTGTATGGATTAGATAAAGGTAAAGATAGAATTCCTCCGGGTGTTTTTAAACGGCATTGTGTTAGTTTTTTTTATATTTTTAAGCACGATCCAGTTATCAAAACCGCTACCGTTATGAGAAATTAATATTATTCTCTTTCTATCATATTGACCTAAATATTTCAACATTTGATCTATACAATCTGTACCTACAAATATTTCTACTATATTCATTAGTTTATCATAAAATTCTTCTGGAACATTATCTGTAGGATTTAAATCTGGAAAGAGATTATTTTTTCTTAGTTTTTCTAAATTAATTAACGTACAAGCGTAAGGAGTTGCTTTACGCGTTTCACTTTCTGAATATGTTTCACAATCCCATGCAAATAACCCAGCATCACTTATACTTGAAAACACGTTTAGTTTCAGAGGTGAAACACGTTTCCATACTTATTCATAATTATCTTCTATTTCTTTAATATCCAAACTTTTTTTATTTCTTCTTATAAGAAATGTGAGTTGAGTAAATATAAAACCCAATCTAATTCCTCTTTTACAATTGTGGGGCGCAAATTTCTATTATTATGAGTATAAATTTGTAATGAATTATCACATTCCTTATTGAATTCATTAATGCTAGCAGATGTCATCACTCCTTTTCTATTTGCTTTTGAGAAACCATTGATGAAATTTTGACATTCATTTGTTAAATCTTTGTTTAAAACATAGTTTACACATTTGATAAAACAGTTACCATCTGTTGGTATGTAACAATTTTTACCTATATATTCATTTATTTTTTTGAGTAGTTCAGTTCCTCTTCTAACTTTTGATCTTTTAATTTCTTTAAAATTGTCTTTACGTAAAAAGATACTTCCTGTAAAGTACCAATCAGAACGGTCAGATTTTTCCTCCATATTTCTAAAGATAGTATGAAAAGTGTTGGCATTAAAACCAAGAAGTTTCATAAATTGTTTGTGCTTTCCATCTTGAAATATCTCTCCATCTATTTCAATTTGTCCTTTAAATGTTAAAGATGTATTGGAAACAGCCTTGATTATATTTGAAAATAACACGTTTTCTATGAATGTTTCATCATCATTAATTTCAATTGATTCATTCATATTTTTTTTTATATAATATGCTTTTTGCATTATCTATTTTTTAAGTATTTTTTTACTTCTATTGCTGATATTTCCATCTCAAATTTTTCTAGAATTTCATTGAATTCTTCTAATTCTTCAATGGTTATGTTCTTATCTTCTCTTGATCTTTGTAAAAATATGAATAATTTATTAAGATATGTATTTAAAATTTCTGTTTTCTTTTTATAATAAGATTTCTGTTTTGATGTATAACCTATAGCAATCAACCCACAAGATGAAGTTTGAATAGCAGTAATTGCGGCTAATACAGCTGGGATAAGTACTGGAACCATTAATCCACCAGTTACAGCCGTTCCTACTGTTGTTCCTACTGTTAGAAGTACACTCAGTGTTTTGAAAACAGAATCAACTCTAATCCATCTTTTCTTACATTTATTATATTGTTCTAGTTTTACTTTTAACTCGTTTTGTTTGTCTATCATATATTGTTGTCTACTTTCGAGTTCCATTTTTAAGACATTAAGATAATCCTTTTTTTTCCCTTTTCAAAGGACTCATGCATATCTTGTATATAAATCTATAACTGTTAAACAATATTTATATCCTCTTTCAACAGGCATATTAATTAAATCTGCTGACCATATTTCATCTTTATCAAACACTTTGACTTTTAAAATATGTTTGTTTTTCTCTAAATTCTTTGTGTATTTCATCTGCTATTCCAATACCCATTTTCATCTTTGCTTTCAATTATTGCTCTTTGAATTATCTCTGGAAAGTTGGATTTGGAATATTTTCAAGTTCGATTATCATTTGTTTGTCTGCTTCGTGTCTGGATGTTATGTCTTTATTTCTGTATAAAATATCATGTTTAAGTGCAGCGGTGTCAACTCTATTGACGGGTTCTTCACCTGGTTTGGGTTATCATTTTGGTCTAATCGCAGATCTAGCCTAGTACCTAGACCAGTATAACTATGACCGGGAAGATGTTTTTCTCCAGGATGTTTTGCCCATGGAAATCCAGGAAGAGAACCTAATGATTTTTGAATGTCAGAAACGAAATAAGTTTTAGGAGTTTGAGCAATTATCATAGATATTTTTATCCAATAATATTTAAACCATTGCCTTTTTTGTTTTCTAATCTTTTATTTCGCATTTCTCTTATATGTTGCAATTCTTTCAACTCATTGGATCTTTTCACTGCTTCGCTTATATTTACTCCTGCTTTTGCAACAGATCCAACAGAATGGACTTCTGAGGAAATAAGGGATTTATTGTTTGAGACAAAGTTGGCTACTTTTGGCATAAGAGATGATAGAGCTGAGAAGAAACCATCTCCTTCAAATTTCTGTTGTTCGTGTTTTAGAATTAAATTCATTCTGTTTTGAAATGAGTTAATTTGAGGATGTTATAGGCCTGGGGCGCTTGGGGGTTGGTAAACGGGTACCCCTATAGGATCCAGGTTTATTAACCGCGTGCCTGGTGGGGTTGTTTGTTTGGGGCGCCACAGGCAAAAGAGTAGTATATGAAGTTATAGATTGGGGGCGGTTTTTTATAATTTAAAATAAAATCGCTTTTTGACGTTAGGAAAAAAGTGATTTTAAAAAAAAAATTATAAACTAATTTGAACTAATTTTATCTAGATAGATTTACTTAGTTTTATCCTTAATTTCAGTTACCTGTATTGCATTTGGTGACGTAGTAAATGGTGCCCTCTTGGGAGGTGCAAGTTTTATTGGTTCTAGGGGCTGCTGGTTTAACTGGTTCAGGAATAACAGCTTGGAGTATAGCCAGTATGATGTCGACGGCACCTGTAGCTAACTGAAACTTAGTCTTTGATAGATATTATACTAGTCTGAAACTTACTGTCCCTTACCTAGTCTCTGATAAATATTAAACTATTCTGAAACTAGCTGACTCTTACGTAGTCTCTGATAGATATTATACTAGTCTGAAACTAGTTGACACTTACCTAGCCTCTGATAGATACTATACTAGTCTGAAACTTACTGACTCTTACCAAGTCTCTGATAGATATTTTACTAGTCTGAAACTAACTGAAACTTACCCAGTCTCTGATAGTTATTATACTAGTCTCAAATTTACTGACTCTTACCTAGTCTCTGATAGTTATTATACTAGTCTGAAACTAACAGACTCTTACTTAGTCTCTGATGAATATTATACTAGTCTGAAACTAACTGACTCTTACCTAATCTCTGATAGTTATTATACTAGTCTGAAACTGACTGACTCTTACCTAGTCTCTGATAGATATCATACTAGTCTGAAACTAACTGACTCTTACTTAGTCTCTGACAAATATTATACTAGTCTGAAACTTACTGACTCTTACCTAATCTCTGATAGTTATTATACTAGTCTGAAACTAACTGACTCTTTCCGAGTCTCAGATAGATATTATACTAGTCTGAAACTAGCTGACTCTTACCTAATCTCTGGTAAATATTATACTTATCTGATACTAACTGACTTTTACCTAGTCTCTGATAGATATTATACTAGTCTGAAACTAACTGACTCTTACCTAGTCTCTGATAGATAGTATACTAGTCTGAAACTATCTGACTATTACCTAGTCTCTGATAGATATTATACAAGCCTGAAACTAACTGACTCTTACCTAGTCTCTGATAGATATTATACAAGTCTGAAACTTGCTAACTCTTACCTAGTCTCTGATAGATATTATACTAGTCTGAAACTAACTGACTCTTACTTACCTAGTCTCTGATAGATATTATGCTAGTCTGAAACTTACTGACTCTTACCTAGTCTCTGATAGATATTATACTAGTCTGAAACTAACTGACTCTTACCTAGTCTCTGATAGTTATTATACTAGTCTGAAACTAGTTGACTCTTACCTAGTCTCTGATAGCTATTATACTAGTCTGAAACTTACTGACTCTTACCTAGTCTCTGATAGATATTATACTAGTCTGAAACTAGCTGACTTTTACCTAGCCTCTGATAGATAGTATACTGGTCAGAAACTGACTCTTACCTAGTCTCTGATAGTTATTATACTAGTCTGAAACTAACTGACTCTTACCTAGTCTCTGGTAAATATTATACTAGTCTGAAACTAGTTGACTCTTACCTAGTCTCTGATAGATATTATACTAATCTGTAACTTACTGACTCTTACCTAGTCTCTGATAGATATTATACAAGTCTGAAACTTGCTAACTCTTACCTAGTCTCTGATAGATATTATACTAGTCTGAAACTAACTGACTCTTACTTACCTAGTCTCTGATAGATATTATGCTAGTCTGAAACTTACTGACTCTTACCTAGTCTCTGATAGATATTATACTAGTCTGAAACTAGCTGACTCTTACCTAGTCTCTGATAGATATTATACTAGTCTGAAACTTACTGACTCTTACCTAGTCTCTGATAGATATTATACTAGTCTGAAACTAGCTGACTCTTACCTAGTCTCTGATAGATACTATACTAGTCTGAAAG